GGGCTACCGTGACCGGCCTCCTTTCCTATTTACAGCATACAGTTATATTCACGAAAAGTCTTCATCAGGTTTATACCAAGCAGGATTGTCTCGAGGAAACGCCCTACGCCTGTGTTCGGGAAGTGCTCGCTTCAAATCTCAGACGGAACACCGGCTATCTTCACGGAGGTTCTTCGTGGTTTTACGCAGCAGTCCCTCCAGGAAAATTCTGGGATATTACCTGGATTACGCCACGAACGCTTCCTTCAGAATCCCTTCCAGTTCATTGTTCATCAGTCATCTCAGCGCTCGACCGTCAACTTCGAAGACCCAGAAGGAGATGTGGGGATAAGAAGTGGAAGGAACTGATTGAGGATCAATGGCGAACTTTGGTATCACGATCAGGATTCAACCCAGATTCTCTCCAGTGTGAACCTCTTTATGTCTTGTCTACGTTGCAGAGTCCTCAAACAACCAATTTTGTATTGTATCTGTAAGATGGGGGAGTTTTCACAGAAGGAATGTATGTTATTGCACATACCACGGCCTCCCTGCATTCCTTGCATACTGTATTCCGACAGAACCGCTCAACGGAGCGTTTTATAGCAAAACGCCCCTCAGTTCAGAGTAAAAGTTACCTAACTCACTCCTCAAGAGAATGTGTTGAACCATTCGAATGACTGCTGGCGCGAACGCTGGAAGGTGAAACTTCAGACCTCTGCACTGGATAGAGATGAGCTTCATGCTCAGACCGCATTTACACCTGTGTTGTGCGTCCTCATCATCCATTGGGCAAGAGGAGGCCAAAACAGCTCCGTACGTCATGACGAAAAGAATAATTCCGAAATTCCCTGCCGAAAACTCAACCCTGAGTTCTTGTGGATGGATTAATCTGAGTGACTTTATGAGAAAGACTGTCTCGTTGGATAATCAATTACTTATTTGTCTAGTAACTTATTAAGTGAGAGCTGTTTGACGGACTTAATGACTAATAGAATGACTTAAGCTTGGGTTTCTTCGGGTAGCGGTACCGTAATCAAGCGGCCGTAATATGACGGTGAATGACGTCATTAAAACGTTGCCATGGAAACAAAGGAACATGGTTTCCATGGCAACGTTTTAGTGACGTCATTCACCGTCATATTACGGCCGCTTGATTACGGTACCGCTACCCGAGGAAACCCAAGCTTAAGT